TGTACGAAATCACACCCAGCGGGCCGTCCGCCGCCAGACAAAACAGCCCCGCCGGGGAAAAAGGCCGACACGCAGACACGCACACACACACACACATGCAAAAATACGCGCGCCAAGGAAAAGAGAGACAGAGAGAGGGGTCACGAAAAAAAGTGCATATATTCTCTGGGGACAAGGGGGAGGGGGGTGCAAAAGGGGGGGGGGGGGAGAAGAAAGGCGCGCGCATCGCGCGACGCGTGTGGCACCGCACGCACACCCATAGGTCGGTGCGTGCGCGTGTGTGCGTGTGCCTCCGGCCGGTGGCGAACACATGCAAGGGCGCACATATGGACAGCCGCCGCTTGCGAAGTGTGGCCGCCCCCCGCCGGACTCCGAGGAGGGGAGATGATAACGGAGGAGGGGCAGACCGAGGAGGGGCAGACCAAGGAGGGGCAGACCGAGGAGGGGCGCTCGGCGGCCCCCTCTTCCTCGCGTCTGTCCGCCATCTGGCCCTCCGGCGCTGTGCATCCGGCTCGCGCGCGCGCGCGCTCTCCCTCTCCGTCTCTCTCTCTCCCTCTCAATGGGCTCCATAGTAGCCACCGGGGTAGGCCGCCGGATCGTAGCCAACCGCAGACCCGCTGCCCGGGTGGCCAGCCGAAGAGGCGGCGTAGGAGGAGTCGGCGCCGCCGCCGCCCGGGCCGCCCGGCCCCGGGGCCGGGGCACCGCCCCCGGCGCCAGGCTGCTTGCTGATGATCTGGATGACCTCCTCCGAGGAGATGGGCGTCACGTCGATCCAGCGCGAGCCGAGAATCCGCCGGTGGCAGGTCATGCCACGCTGGAGCTCATCCACCGAGGACAGCTGGACCAGCGCCTCGCCATTGGGCCGGTAGCTGCCATTGGTGTGCATGCTGCTCAGCATCTGGATGCCCTTGGGGGTGACGTTGGAATTCTCCGCAAAGAAGGTGACAATGTCCTGAGGGGTCGACACGAAGGGCAGCCCCCGCAGGCGGAGGAAGGCGTCCGACCCGCCGGAAGAGGCGGAAGGCCCACCAGACGGCGGCGGAGCCGCCGGGGCCGCGCCATGCGCATGCGGCGGCGGCTGCTGCTGCTGCTGCTGGTAACCGCCGCTGGGGGGCATCGAGGGTGGCGGGCCGCCATGGTGCGCCCCCGGCAGCGGCGGGGGAGGGCCACCCACCGGCAGGGCATACCGGTCGCGCGTGCGGTCATACTCACGGTCCTGGTCACGGCCATGGCGCGGGCCGCCACCGCCATAGTAGTCGGCTGGGCCGCCAGGCGGCGGACCGCCATGGTGCATGCCACGCCCATACCCGGCATCGGGGGCATCATAAGCCCCGCCGGCGCCACCGCCGCCGGCGCCACGGTCATAGCCGCCACGGTCATAGCCACCGCCAGGGCCACTGCGGTCATAGCCGCCGGCGCCATAGCCGTAGCCGCCGCCGCCGCCCGGGCCGCCGCCATAACCACCACCATAGCCACCACCCGGGCCGCCACCATAGCCACCACCGCCATAGCCGCCGCCGCCGTAGCCGCCACCGCCATAGCCACCATGGCCGCCACCGTAGCCGCCGCGATCATACCCGCCGCCAGGGCCGCCGCCATAGCCGCCGCGATCATACCCGCCGCCAGGGCCGCCACCGTAGCCACCACGGTCATACCCACCGCCCGGGGCGCCGCCCCAGCCACCGCTGCGGTCCCAGTCGTCGCGATCGTAGCCGTAGTCGCCGCGCCCGCCGCGCCCACCGCGGAAGCCGCCGCGCCCGCCCGGGCCACCCGGGCCGCGCCCACCGCGCCCACCGCGTCCACCGAAATCGCCACCGTCTGCTCGATACAAGGAGGTGCGCCAGAGGGGGGGGGGGGAGGAGGAGGGGGGAGGGGGGATGCGGGAGATGTCCAAGTTAGAAGGAGGAGGAGAGGGGGGAGGGGAACCGAGAAGAGAACACACACAGAGAGAGAGGGAGAGACAGGAAAGAAGGGAGCAAAGGGGAGAAAAAAAAAACAACAAAGGAGCAACCACCACGTACACGATCCACCATCATCAGTGGCCGACTGCATTGCGTTGATGAGCTCCTGGTCCGAGGACCGGAAAAGCTCGATGTACCGGCTGCCGATGTTCTGGCGCTGCTTCTCCATGGCCCGGGCCTGGTCGGCCTCGGTCTTGAGCCGGACGTACGCCTCGCCGGTGAGCTTGCCACTGCGATAGCGGATGATATACACATCATCATCCGGGCTGACCGGGCTCGACATGCCGGTGAAGAACTCCGCCACATCGTCCTCGGTCACGTCGAAGGGCAGCCCGCGCAGGTGCACCAGGAAGGTTCCGGGCACCGAAATCGGCCGGCTCGGGTCCGACAGGACATTCATGCTCCGCCGGCGGGAGGTGGTCAGCGCGGCGGCCGACCCGGCGAACACCTCGATGTACCGCGACCCGAGGGTCTTGTGGTTGTACTTGGTGATGGCGGTCTGCGCGTCGGCGGCGCTGGCAAAGACCACATAAATCTCGCCATTCGGCTCGCTGTTGTGGTTCAGGTCGAAGTGCACGTGGCGCACACGCAGCGGCGAGAAGAAGGCCACCGCCTCGGCGGCGGTCGTGCCCCAGGGACACCCGCGGCAGCGGATGATCGTATCGTCCGCCGGCTCGTAGCTCAGAACCCGGGTGCCGGTGAGGTTGCTGGTCGGCTCGCCGGCACCGGTATCGGCGCCGCCAGGCGGCGCGGCATCCGCCGACCCGGCTCCGGCATCCGCCGGCTTGGGCTCCTCGGTCGGGGTGGTGGCCGTGGCCGAGGCGGCGGCCGGCTCGGCAGGAGTGGCGGCCGCGGTGTCGGCACTGGCCGCGGTGTCGGCCGCCGCCGTCGCGACGGCCGACGTGGCGTCCGCGGTGCCGGAGGCAGCAGTGGCGCTCGGCGAGGCCGGGGCCGAGGAGGCCTGCTGCGTCTCAACGACCGGGGACCCGGCGGTGTCGGAGGTGGGGGCCACCTCGCTGTTGTCGGCCTCGCCGGACTCCTGTGCAGCAGAATCCCAAGGGGGGAGGGGGGAAGCCCAGACGGCGGAGAGGACGGTATCCGGGCGGGAAGGTGTGAGAAGGGGGGGGGGGCGTCGGGGTGTGGAGGGCAGAAGGCATGGGGGGTGAGAAGGTGATACGCACGGTGCTCGTCGCCAGGGGGGCGATGCCGGTGCTGAAGGCATTCAGATGGTGACCATTGGAGATGAGCTTCTTCATGACGGCCGACAGGTAAGCCGGCAGGGAGTCGTCCTCGGCAGTGATGCCCATGTCTGTGTATGGGGGGGGGGAAGGGGGGAGGGAGCGCCAGTCGCACGAGCAGGGCACCAGGGCGAGGGACAGGATGTCAGCGACAGTCGCGGCGCGGACACGCACATGGACGAGAGGGGGAGCGGGAAGGGGGGGGAGCAGCGCACGCTTGAGAACCGCCGCCGGCTCGAGCGACGGGACATCCGAATAGAAGCGCGAGACCGCGTCATCCAGGGAAACCACCTGCGACAGGGACCCGGGGGGGGTGATCCCGGCGTCGGCGCAGGCCTGAACCAGGATGGACGAAATGTGGGACTGCTCCTGGGTGGGACATGGACAGGCCAACGGGCGGGCGGGCGGGCGGGCGGGCGGGCGAACGAGAATAGGGCACGTGCGTGAGTTCATCCGCCAGGCGAGAGCAGGCGGGGGGGGGGGGGGGGGGGGGTGGGCGGAGGGAAGAAGGAGAGGGGGAGGGAGGGTGGGTGTGACATGGACCCCCGCAGGGAGGATCCAGCCGTACGGCCGTACCTTGACCACCACAATGTGGGTGCCGGAGACATTGGCCATGGCGGTGGAGAACTGCTCGAGGGCCTGGCCGAGCAGGGGGCCATCGGTGGACAGGCGAACCACAGTGGCCGGCTCGGAGAAGGTGGCGGCCTTGTGGTTGAACACGCGCCAGAAGACCTGCACGATCGGCTGGCCCGCCTCCAGGGCGGGGGGTGACTCCGAGGACAGAATCCCGAAGATCACGTATCGATCGTATTGGGCTGGCATCGCGCGCCAAAGAGGGGGGGGGGGGGGGGTCGGTCAGTGGTCAGGGCACACCCGTGTGCAATCTGGCGAGCGAATGGCACACGCACTGGGGGACATATTCACAGAGGGTCCCGAGGGGAGAGAGAGAGAGAGAGAATGTGCCTGGGCTGTGGATACGCGCGGGTCCCAGTCCCCGGCGGTGAGTGTTTGAACAGATAAACGGCAAGGGGAGTTAGAAATCGGAACACCGGCCGCAGACCACACGGCATGAGGCCCCGAGGCTTGCTTCCCCGAAATGATGGAGCAATCTCTCATCCCGCCTCGCCTGGCTGGCTGTGCATGTGGCAGAGAGAAGCCAGAGCGAGGGGGAAGGGGTGGGGGGGGGGCAGGAGGCGAGACGAGACCCCGGCGGGAGGGAGAGGTAAGGGGGGGGGGGGGGGGGGGGCCGAAGGGGGGGGGGGGGGGCGGACGGGCGGACGCGTCCGGACGTACTTGTGG